TACTACCAACAGTGATCCTCGACAACAGATACAAAGTCACTTGATAGCTGATCGCCGATCTGTGTCGGCCCCACGTGAAGTAAGCCGCAACAAAACCAGCAACAGCAGGGTTGAATTTCACACTCCCCATGCTGCGGTCCATGAGGCTCCTCAACAGCTTATATACGAAGGCGTATGTGCCCAGCGTAACGCCGTGCTCTCTGGTGCTTTGCAGTATCCACTCCAAATTTTCCCGTAGTGTTCTGTGGCCCCCATATAAAGTCGTCATCACCACACAGTGTGCCAAGCGTAGCTTAGCCGCGTACTCGAACCCATTGCGGGCGCTCAAACAGGCTTCGATGAGGCACTCCTTGAGAGTAGGTGATGACGGGGGAGAACCCCGCGAGCTCGAGGTCAGATCTGGCATGGTCAGACCTGTGGCACTTCTGATTGAAATACTGTAAAACACAATACGATGGTTTACTAAACTTGGATTGGCAATAGAATGGACTACGCGAGAGTACTAGTTTACTGTAATACTACAACCAGTGACAGTCGTATGAAATTCGCGAATTCCTACGATGGCAATTCCTCTATCTGCTGGTCGTTTCCCCATTGAACTCGCCAGGAACAGTTGTGGATTCCGTGCTTGCTTCCTCACCAGGAGGCCGGGACAATGGCATCACTTCGCTGCTGTTGACGACACATAAATTTTCCGGACCCATTCTGAACATGCCAAGCACGAGGCCATTCAACACCACCGTTCCTTGAGAGTGTCCACCATCGACCGCTGAATGCCATCTCACAGTGCGGTTATCCCAGGCACATAAAACGTCACCATTGCTGCCCAGGACAGCGCCCATGCACCAGATCGGCGTTTCCGCTTGGAGGCATATGCGACGCTTACGCTTGCACGTTCGCGTCGCCCGCTCCCTACGACCACCTGTCAACCGCAGTGGCTCGGTGCCTTGCTCCTGGTCCTCGCGAAACACCACACAAGCGGCAGTCTCGACTCCCAGCACATAGCCATCGAACCAGTCAACACCCAGAAGCCGCTCGCCGTGCCCTCGGGACCAGCTTAGG